GATTTATTTCTTTTAGAATTTCGACAAAGACATAAAAGACTGTTGTGTTCAATCTCTTTTTTCAACGATAAATGAGCATTCAAATTGAGATTTTAATTCCACTATAAAGTCAACTTTCCGCATTGAACCCTATTGGCTTCATATACACCAAAGAGACCATAGGAGATTTTTAACATTCTTAAGAATTGGAGAATTACACATAATGAAAAATATAGGTAGACCGGTGGGTGTACCTAGCAACCTTAGATTTTGTCCTTTTCGTAAAAAATATTATAGAATATGAGTTGCATTTTTTGTAAGTATGCCCAACTTAAGATATTTTAAGACACACATATTTTTCCAACAATAACTTAAAAAATGAGAACTCCTTCTGAACTTTACTACAAACTTCTAACATTGAAACCCTGTCATTATGTGCTAAATACATTAAAGATGTCCTATCTTTACGTTCTTCATTATAATAATTCTAATTTGTCCTTTAATTGCACTCTGTTCCTCTGATATTGTACCACCACTTTGTATATAATACATGTATCAATATTGTCCTTGGGCCTGTTGCCTTTATACTGAAACTTATTTAATATGTTTCATAAATTGTTTTTAAATATAACTTTGTGAAACTAAATTGTGAATATATTAACATGATCTTGTCGCTATATGGCTGAAATATTGCCGATGCGACGTTACATTTTAACTCACTCACTCACTTGATCAATTGACGCTATCACAAACCACAGAAAATTATTTCGCCGATCGAAAATGTGCTGGATCCGCCTAAACACGTGAAGACAGAGCCCATCCCATGGCACCCGGAAACGGGAAAGACCCAGGCAACGGCAACGGAAAATGTGCTGGATCCGCCTAAACACGTGAAGACAGAGCCCACCCCATAGCACCCGGAAACGGGAAAGACCCAGGCAACGGCAACGGAAAATATGCTGGATGCGCCTAAACACGTGAAGACAGAGCCCACCCCATGGCACCCGGAAACGGGAAAGACCCAGGCAACGGCAACGGAAAATATGCTGGATGCGCCTAAACACGTGAAGACAGAGCCCACCCCATGGCACTCGGACACGAGAAAGACCCAGGCAACGGCAACGGAAAATGTGAAGATTGAAAATCAACCGACATCTTTCTTCAACTGTGTTTTCAATATGTTAGTTACAATTTTGACAATGTAAAACTGTTTGTTTTCTGCAGAAAAGGACTTGAACGTTAACGTTATATTGAGAACTGAAAGAGAGTTCCTTGACAATGTGATTTTAATATGTTTTAATGGGCCTGTAATGCACAAAACCTTGACAACTGTTTCAATTTTACTGCTGACTTTAAGACAATAGGAAATTAACGATTTTCCGAATGTTTACTTTTATTATTTGACACCTGGACTACCTTTTTCGTTATTGTTTTATCGTTGGTGACAACTTGTGCATTTACTTGCCAAGAATAAACACTTGATGGCTGAATTCCTCTTGTCTTTTTCACAATGTTCAACTTGTTACTTAAGTTCAATTACATTGTTGCAACTTTTGCCATACAATGCTGTACAGTAAACTACGTTTATAACGAACACTCTTATAACAAACTGATCGCTATAACGAACTTAGTTTTTAGTCCCGGCCATTTGTTGTGTATATACAGTATATATGTTATAACGAACTAAGGTTATTACAAACAATAATTAGTGGTCCCTTTGAGTTCGTTATAACCGTATGTCTTTTTACAAGTAAAGGTGTGTAAAAATATGAACAAAACAGACTATTGTAAAACTGAGCATAACCAGGTGTTAGGTGAATGTCCATGACCTATGACTCCTTGACGACAGGTGAAAACAGGTGCTTAAAACCCACGTGCATGTGATTTGTCAGTGGTTAGTGTTTTGTGAGTGCAATTGTGGGATAGCGAATCATCGTCAAAATATCAGAACGTAAAAGAAACATATTCCCTTCTCAAACAACAACTCACATGTCATTATTATTATGTACATAAACATATCTGTTATTTTTATTGTTGTTTTGATAACTTTTTTCAAGGCTTATTTGTATCATGCCTATAGCCTGTTTCTGCCATGTCAATGGCTGTCGATCTATAGCTCGTTTTTACCATGTATTATTACGTATGATGATATATATATTTTGGTTGGTTGGTTGGTTTGTTGTTTAACGCCGCACTCAGCAATATTGCAGCTATATGACGTCGGTCTGTAAATAATCGAGTCTGGACCAGACAATCCAGTGATTGATATCATGAGCATCGATCGACGCAATTGAGATACGATGACATGCATCAACCAAGTCAGCGAGCATGACCACCCGATCCCGTTAGTCGCCTTTTACGACAAGCATAGTCGCTTTTTAAGGCCAGCATGGGTTGCTGAAGACCTATTCTAGCCCGGATCTTCACGGGTCTCTGAGTACGTATCAAAATGGATATTATAATGAATTAAATTTGAAAAGCGAAATTAATCGTCAGAGTTAAACGCAGAAGAATATCATGTGAGGCCTTATGTAAATAAAGCGACAAAACCCTTGCCTTATCCAATAGAAATCTCTGCATAAACCCTTGTGTGTTAATTTGAATCTCTCCCATGCATGATCCTAACCTTATTAACAACTGCAAGTCGTGCAGCACCTGTTATCGATGTACTTTGTAATGTCGAAATGACGATCACATATTGCCATAATTGATTACTCGGGATTATTGTTATCAAATTACCTGAATCATTACTCATAGTCTAATTAGTTTGCAGGTAACGTAAAGTTGGTTGGTTGGTTGTTTTGGGCCGCACTCAGCAATATTCAGGCTATATGACGGCAGTCTGTAAATAATCGAGTCTGGACCAGACAATCCAGTGATTGACATCATGCGCGTCGACCCACGCAATTGGGATCGATGAAATGCTTCAACCAAGTCAGCGAGCCTGACCATCCGATCCCGTTAGTCGCCTCTTACGCCAAGCATAGTCGCCTTTTACGGCAAGCATGGGTTGCTGAAGACAGACAGAAGAAGTGCGGCGTTAAACAACAAACTATTCAACCAACCACTATCTTGATAATGGCGAAGTACATACTTGTTTAGGAAATTGACAAGCTCAAGTGCATTTGTTTGCACGTTATGGCGTTTTGTCTCCTGTGCATGAGGACGCCGAACAACCAATCCCACTAGGCCCCAGAAATAGCTCTTACCTAGTGTTGTCATTCAAACCAGAGTCTGCAAACGTAAATAATTTATTATAATGAATGTATCAGGTGAGTGAAGTGGATTAAACAATAGTAATGTTGCATCGGCATTATTTCAGCCATACTAGGCCAGTGACGTGTGTCGGGCCACAAGGTAATAAAAGACACATCCTCATTGTTCCACATGTCAGTTCTATCGCACTGGAAAATTTAAAATGTATTTTTTTTAACTGTGAAGGAAGCCGGATAGAGAGTTTTATATGTTCTCTGATGCCCATGGGAGTTTTTCTATAAAAACCTCGGCTTTCAGAACTACTTTCTATTCTTTCGTTCTTCCAAGTATCATCCACGTCCCATTATTCTGGATTCTGAATAAATAACTGCCCTTTGCTAATAAGTAAATAAGTATTGTATTATCGGCAAGGAAGAGAACAACTAACTCGGGGTTACGCTTTAGTTTTCCCTTGGGAATATATGTAGTAAGAAAGGTAAACCGTAAAAGTATTCCTTGTTGGTTTTTCGCATATTATGTCATCACAGGATGCACACACCAATATGATTGGTTGGTAAGCTATATGGCGGCGGTCTGTAAATAATCGAGTCTGGACCAGACAATCCAGTGATTGATATCACGAGCATCATGATCCACGCACATGGGAGTGAGCGAGTTTAGTTTTATGCCGCTTTTAGCAATATTCTTGCAATATCATGGCGGGGGACACCAGAAATTGGCCTCACACATTGTACCCATGTCGGGATTCGAACCCGGATCTTCGGTGTGACGAGCGAATGCTTTAACCACTACGACCACCCTTCCACACAAATGGGATCGATGACATGCATCAACTAAGTCAGCGAGTCTGACCACCCGATCCCGTTAGTCGCCTCTTACAATAACCAAGCATGGGTTGCTGAAGGCAACCGCGCACAGCCGCACACAGCAATAGTCCAGCTATATGATCATGACGGCGGTTTGTAAATAATCGTGTCTGGACCAGGCAATCCAGTGTTTGATATCATGAGCATCGATCCGCGCAATTGGTATACGATGACATGCATCAACCAAGTCAGCGAGCCTGACCACTCGATGCCGTCAGTCGCCTTTTACAGCAAGCATGGGTTGCTGAAGATCTATTCTACCCCGGATCTTCAGGGGCCTATATTGATTTAAGAACAAAATATCTAAAAAAACATTTCTACCACAACCCAAATGGTAACAATTTTTGGAAATCAATGGCGTATGATTGTACAGCAACTATGATATATTTATCTATGTTCATTTATCATGATATGAAACTAAGAAACTGTATGGATTTGTAACACGCCCCAAACAATGGCCTCATCAGTACTATAACAGTGCCAAAATCATTATATTTTTCTTCAAGTTTTATCAAATTCAAATATATTCTACTACTTTAAGTTTCACATTCCGAAGACAGTAAACGCGACATAGTTTACAGGACTTGTAACAAAATATGTAACGCTTGGAGATGCAAGCTGTTGAAACCAGTCAAACGAGCTGGCAGATGCTAATCAATTAGCGCTATTGAAATTCTAGACCCGGCTGACCAGTTTCAAACACAGCCGACCAGCCTTATATATAAACATTTAACTAAGCAAGTCAGCACATCATAACAATTCTAGGCATAAACAGTCGGTTAAAACAAACTGTTTCAGTACCATGAATAAAAAATGATTGAAACAAAGAATCTTGCAAAATCTCCGAGGAACGTATTGTTGCCAACGTACTGTTGGCAAGGTATCAATTGCAACATAACAAAGCCAGTTACGTGCAGCAATCGTATTTATCAGGACAACAGTGGCATCTTAGCTACTTCTCATATGCATGTAATTTCAATGGGATCTGTATCTGCCTATGTAAAAGCAGTAACTTACTTTGAGTGTTTCATTCTCCCTCAAGCGGACAGGACAGGGCAGGAGGACCTTCAGCTGGCTTAATGCGCATTACAGAAACGTTTTTGAAACTGAAGATGGATATTATCTACTTCGCAGCACTTCCCTTGGTTATTTGTATTTCAGTAACATTAGGTTTGAAAGAATCTCATTATAAAAAGACAACCAGTGGAACTCCAGCCGTTTTAGTCAACTCCCAGCATCTTCAGGCACAGGAAGTCTTTGGACTAGTGTCATGTGCCATGCTGTGTTCCCGCATGTCATGCCAGGAGTTCCAGTTTTCAGACACAAGCAGCATGTGCATCACACGACACACAGAGCCAATATCTGACGGCGTCATTAACCCAGGCAGTGGCTTGTTTGACATCTACGACTACGAACAAGGTACCACATAACATTTTGTTGTTGTATTGTCCCCGGCATATACGTGTTGCTGAAACAAGGGGATTTAATCGGACGAAACATAATAGTGATACAAGCACCAAATTTGGCACAGAGTTACTTTAATAAGCTGCAAACATTTTTGGATATGGAGACACTTGAAATTCCATATGCGTGACCATCAAAAATCTATAATTGTCAGTATGTCTGGATCTTTGTCAACTACAACCTTCTTCTTGGTGGCTAATTCTACATTTTGGGGGGTCAAGGAATCCATTGGTGTCAGTTACGAGTGCCTATAACAGCCGCCATATTGAATTTCAAAATGGCGGCACTGAACAAAAACGTCTAGAAACACATTACCACATCTCCTAGTCTCAGGAGTACAAAAGGAAATGATGTTTACAATACCATCTAACATTACTCAACTGAAAAGGGAAGATTACCGAGTGATCATGGATGTGAAGATTTCACACATGTTCAAAAGTAACTGATACTGATTAAGTGTTACATTCGCCCTCACAGGCGCACATTAGGTGCATTTTGAGGGCTGACTTCTTGCATTTGCATTTCCCACAGCATCCCTTTTTGCATCCACATGATATCAGTTCATAGCATGACTTTGCAACTTCTGGTAGTGTTGTCCAGAGGGGTTGAAACTGATCTTTAGTCTTGACCCAGCCCCAGTCGCATGGAGATGGCAGAGTGCAGCATGCGACAAGAGCCTGTCCCAAGCAATGCCCGGCTTGATATGTTGCTCAAGAGCTGCCTGCGTTGGAGGTATTGCTTCAAGGGATCTTCCTTTCCTTGAGAACAGCTTCTTCCTCAGGAGGTTGACATTAGTGCATGTGCTTGTCCGGTCATGGAGTAAAACAACAAATCTTTCAACAGTTGACAAGACGTCTGCAGGCACCTCGCTTGGTGTGGAGGCCAGATGGAGGAATGCAGCTGTAATCTCCTGGAACACATCCCATGTAGCCCTTGCTGTTATCTTGCCACGGCCTGCAAATGTCGATACCGTGTCACAACCTGTGACAGCATGGAACACTGGAAGTGCCTTTGACTTCTCAGTTCCCAGACCTGCAGCAACCTCATGCGCTTCTATGTATCGGAAGTTCTTGCCTGTCCCGAACGCAAGCCAGAGTTCATCCAGTCGTTCCTGTCGCTCTTGGACCAGTGCAATGGCAAGAATGACAACGTCTGTGTCCACTGTCTGTATAAGTATTTGCCGATGTCCACACCTTATGGCATCTGCTGCATGCACCATCATTTGGGTGTCGGCCTCCTCATTGTTGCATGGGGCCAAACTGGTGATGTCTTCAAGGGCTGGGACAGTGAGTACCAAATCCCCGTCTGTGGCAACCAACTGCTTGTCTGGTGTGTCAAAGGATCTCACAAGTTGTCCAGACAAGAAACTGAACAGCTCTTCCATAGTTTCACCACCACAAAAAAAGTTCTGCCAGTTTCCGGGTAGCACAGCAGCGACAGTGACACGCCTTCGGATGCCTTTGCCACGGTTGGTCCGTGCAGTAGCTTTGAGGCTACCAGACTTTGTGTAGCGATCCCACACTAAGTCAAGGTGAGATCGATGCTCTAGCTGTGATGCAACATATGGAACAAACACACCTGTTGCATATTCAAGGAATGTTCTGCTGCCACTAGGCTTCAGCATCTTGACAATGGCAGCCCCATCGAGTATGGCACAGGTGACATGTGGTGCACCAGTTTTCTTGTTGGCAAGCTCTTCTATGGGCTTGAGTAGGTCTGACTTGCTGACTCGAAGCTGTCCTTCTTGGGACAGTGCTGGTGGGTAGGCTCGGTTCTCATGCTTGAAGAACTCATCCAGATCACCCTCCCTTGTTTGGCATGCAATATATAGTCTTGAAACGAGTTCCGAGTCATCCTTTGCTGAAGCTAGCTGCTGCTTCTTCTTGCTAGAAGCTGTGGCTTTGGTAGAGCTGAGCAGTGGCAATTTGTTCCGCTTGATGACATCACTGAGGGGGTTTGATCTGTCAGCCAAACGCTCCTTTGCAAAGGAGTTGAACTGTTCTTTGCCAATTTTGAGGACATGTGTTTCACAGTCTCACCTGCTGTTTCGGTCAATATTTCTTTGTTGTCAAGTACCAGCAGGTGGGTACTTTGTTCCTCAAATGGGTTCCCCATCTCTTCCATGACTGACCTGAGTGCACGGACATCTTGGCCTAATTTGATTTGTGCTTTGTTTGTTTGCTCATGGTGATGAAATTTGCATTTGCCGCACCACCATCTCCCTTATTTTGTTCATGTGCCTGGTCTATTGCAATTGCTGAGAAGGGGCGATTGGTCTTCTTTGCAGTGAAATGTCCTCCTTTGAACATGCGCAGAGCTCTGCCAAAGCGTCAATGAAGTGTAAAGTTTGATTCTCGAAGTGATCGCACAAACATGAGGATGCAGAGCTCCATCTGGAGAGTGATTGGCCAGTACTAAAACTGTGGACAGTTCTCCGCTCTCTCATCACACCAGGTGTCAAACGCCAGTGCCTTTTGTCCCTCGGCAGCGGCCCGTTCAGTGTACTTTGTCATACGCATCATGTTGCAGAATATGGCAAAGTTGCAGCTGTCACCTGATGAGCGCGTCTAGTGCGTGAAACATGTGCTGCTCGCAGAAAGGAGTCTGCCATACCAGAGGTTGCTATCTCAGCCTGCACCAGGGCCTGTGTCCACCAACTGCCGTGTAGCCAGTCTCCTGCAGTCTTCATGGCAGCCATTTCGATGTGAAGACCACCTAAGATTATCACAAAGTGGTTTTCCCCGTGTGTGTCTGGCCAGTTCCATTGTCCTTGCTTGGCAATGGCATACGGCGGCTGGTTGAAAGTCACAACAGGTGTTTGCCCTGGATTCAGGTGGATGATAGCGTCCTTTACAACATCCATGGAATCCCGGATCATTGCCACAGAGTGAGCTTGGTCATGAAAGAGTGGGAGCAAAGCAGATGGGGTGACTACAACATGATCTACTGGTTGTATTTGTGCATGATGTGCAGCCCACGAAATGTTTCCTGGACTTTGACCACCACTTTGCACGTCACAACATTGTTTCACAGGTTGCAGCCACACTTTCTCCTTGGCCATTTCCTCTTGAGGGAGAATTCTCTCCAGTGACTTTTGCGTTCCGGCTGGAATAGGTGGGTTCCTATCATGTGAAGTGCCTGGATGTACCTCTGTGTAATAGCGAGGAAGTGGGTCAACAACCTTGACTCTGGTTGCACCCCCGATGACAACAATGTCCCTGTCCCTACCCCCTTCTGCATGGCCTGGTGCTGTATGAGCGAAATCCCTGTTCCATGGAAGGAGTCTTGCGATGTGGTGGAACTGGACTTGTGGTCAATATCTTCTACTGCCGCTGTGGTGAAGACTTCTGCCAGGAGGCTTGGTGGGCAGACCACATGCTCCAGGTGATATCGCTCACAAACACTATTGCCCAACTCAGCAGATATTCTGAGGACTCGGTCATATGAAATGCTGATTCCTAGAACAGACATGGTATGTACCTACTCTCTTTTTCTGGTGTGCGCATGAAGCATCAAACCAACCTATATTGTCAGTGGCGTTTCCTGGTTGATTTTGTGCGTGACATGGGTGACTCCATGTGCCTCCTTCCTGGCATTCTTGATGCTGTTGTATTTCAGCAGCTGAGGTATTGCCAAAGATGCTGGGGAACGCTTGCCTGTTTCATCCTTGACACCAGGCCCTTCTAGTATCATAGATAATTATATCAGAACAAGTGTTGACACACTGTCTTCTTGGCATGTGTCTGCAAAGGAGCCACTGAAATAATGACCAACTGTGAACAAGCCTCTTCTCACAATCTGTGCAGACCATGGCCAGTGCGTCCCCTACGCCCTCTTCACATACTAGCAGGATGTCCTTGCCTTTCTTATGCTCTTGCATGTCAGGTGCCAGCATGCGTTCCTTCAGTCATGTACTGTGGACGCGCTGGTCCAGCTGTACCCAAAGTCGTTCCATCCTGCTTGCATACCACTTGGTCAAATCAGCTAGCTTGAATATAGGTGCAGCAGACTCTTCTGCAATAGTCTCGTCTATATATGTCACCAGTTCAGCTACCACGACAGCCGAAATGATCTGTTCTCTGATGCTTACTTGCTTCGCCTCATTTTTCACTACTGCCCATGCTCGATTGTACAGTGATGTCAAGCATTTGTTGTGGTACTTGGCTTCTCTTGCCACCATATCACCTGCACTCAGTTGCGCCAACAATGTAGTGTCCTCGAGAATCTCTGCAGCCTCACGAACATGGTGCCCTATTTCCAGCGTTGTCGCTTGACGATACCAAGTTCCTGGTGTCAAAAAAGCATAGATCTTCCTGTATGTTATCCACCTGTGCAGCTTGTGATCTGGTTCTCTTCGCTGGGTCAGTTCTAGCTGTGCTAGGGCCAGCACCACAATTAGAATGCCTTCGTTTAACAGTACGTTCTAGCTTTGTATTGTTGAATTTGAGTCTGCAAGACTTGTGCCACCTTGCTTCGTGGGCTGTCAGCGTAGCTGCTATTCCTTGACCTTCATTGAGTCCCTTCAGGTCTTTAGGTAGTTGTCCAAGCTCATCAAACCGAGTTAAATCGTTAGCAAGTGATTTGTACCCTGCACCTTCGTCTTGTCTTTTTGTTGCAGCAGGACATTGAAGCACCTCTTGTTTCTGTTCTTGGCACAACACACACAGATCCCAGTTAACCACAGCCTTAGTCACATCAACTAGTTTATAGTCTTTTGGACATGACTGCAGTCAACTCAAGATTTGAGGTTCTCCACAGATTGAGCACCTACAAGTAATTCTTGCAGAAAAAACTCGAACACAAAATCTCTATATAGATCTCGCTGTGCAGAGTTGCGTCCCTTGGGCAAGCCAGAAACCTATGATTGTGGGTTCGAATCCCGGTTCGCCCCGATTATGTTTCTAGGTTTGTCAGCACCATACCCGTGCTCGTGGGTTTAACCGAAGTGGTAAACGTCTGAGACCTGCATCACTTCGGGCTTTCCTCCCACATTAAGCTGACACGCCGTGATATAACTGGAATATTGTTAAAAGCGTTAAACCAAACTCACTCACTCACTATATAGATCTAATGTCACAGCTGTTCAGCACGGGAATAGTTATTGACAATATTATACCATCATAGTATTTTGAAATACAAGGTAGCTTGAGCAAGTCTGTAACCACCCCCACCCCCACGCACACACACGAAAAAATGAATTTGAGACATCACTGTTCAATGTGGCTTAGATGGCTAACATAACAAAATATTTTGTTAAATACTTATTGTTTACTCTGCCGCCATCTTGAAATTCAACATGGTGGCAGTTATAGCCACTTGTATCTTAGACCATTGAATTCCTTGACCCCAAGAAGAAGTGTATAGCTGACATAGATCCAGAAACATTGACAATTATAGAATTTTGATGGCCGCCATTTTGATTTTCAAAATGGCGTCTCACGCAGGGGGAATTTCAAGTGGCTCCATATCCAAAAATGTTAACAACATATTAAAGTAACTGTGTGCCAAATCTGGTGCTTGTATCACTTTGGGGGCTATGCCGCTGCACTATAAATAGACTCAAAGGAAAGTTTGTCATTTACATTTCAGGAATCTTGATTGAATTCGTGTCGACATTGTGTTTCTTTGTCATTTTAAATTTTGTTCTCTTGTACTTTAGAAATTCAAGTATGTGAAAAACGAAAGCGTAATTACTACATTAATTCAATTGATAGTGCCCAATATAGCCGTCATATAGCTGGAATATTGTTGTGTGCGGCGTTAAACAACAAACAAACAAACTTAAAAATACGCCATTTGTATTATATTTGTCACCCTTGCAGATCCTAGCACATGTTTTGAGATCAGGAAAAACAACCCAACAGCTCAAAGTGGAGAGTACAACATCTTGCCCTTGGCTCCTCAGTTTAAGGGTGCGTCAGTGAAGGTCTACTGCTTGATGACTGATACACACCAGCTGGAGTATGTCACACTGCCAAATAGGAACATTGGAAACTTTCCTAAAAGGTCGAATAAGGATTGTGTGAAGGAAATGCCATATTTAGTGGATGATGGTGTTGGCCAAGACGGAGTAACAGTGTTTCATAGAATCAGAGTTCAGCCATCGGTAAGTGCCTATTATAATTTCAGTTTCTGTCATGTCTGTGAGTGGATGTCATGTAAAGTGAAGGAAGAACTTACGTTGCACTATGATAGGTAGGGCAAAAATTCTTTGTGGCATTCCAATTTTGCCAGGGATAATTAAAAATACCTTAATTAAATCCAATGTTTGATGCCAGCAAATATGGCGTTTCCATTAAGGCATCCATCAAGGTATTTGAAAAGCTAGGGTGTGGAGTTTCCCAATCCTATTTCGTTTGCTGAATATTAATATCATCAGGGAGAAGGGGTGGCCCAATTGTAGGCGTACCAGCAGGGTTCGAATCACAGTCCTCTCCGGCTGTGTGTCTGGGTTTGTCCGTAAAGTGATAAACACATAACACCTGCATCGCTGTTCCTCCCAAATCAAGCTGACATGCCCGTACATTACTCATACTTACAGCTACCAAGGGCCTGAAAAGTGCAGGGTGTTTTGTTTGGTTATATTTTATTGTTTATTACTTTTAACTTCATCTCCCCATTTCAATCGAGCCATGAAACAAGAATACAAACAGTTGTATGTGTCTGAAGTCATTCACCATATTATTATTTATGGGAAGTATTGGTTTCTGTGAGCTATGTTCAAATTGCAGGGACTTTTGATTTCCCTTCAGCTCCTACAAATGTAAATAATTAAGTTTGGATAATATATTGAGTTCTTCTGGTGTGATTTTAAACGTATCTGAAGAAATGGTATATTTCCTTGCTTTAGACTATGACTGTTGTGAGAACTGACACCACCTTCACAAGCGGGAACAAGACGAAGCCACATACATTTGGTTCAGCAGAAGATTGTTACTCAATTCCTGGAAGCTGTAAACGAATAGGAACCTTTAACATCGACACACTGGGTACAGGGATGAAGTTCTCTACAAATGTAAGTGATTCCTTTTTGCTTGCATTATTAATATGAGTAGTTGTAAGCATCAGTATGGGACCGCTCCTGGCTTCTGATTGGTCGAGAGGATCACGTGACCTCTGTGACGTCAGTTCCGGTCACGTGACCTGCGCAGTGCATGATGGGACTTGCGTGCGCATCCAAGATGGCGGCACATCCGTTTCCGGTGGCGTGCGCATCCAAGATGGCGTCGTATCCGTTTCCGGTGGCATGCGCCTCCAAGATGGCGTCGCATCCGTGTCCGGTGGCGTACGCCTTCAAGATGGCGGCACATCCGTTTCCGGGGAGGATGGGGAAAACCCGGGGAAGCGCACGTAAAAGGTGAACAGGATCGACATTGAAAGAAGCGCGTCAAAAATCTTTTGTTGTTGTTGTTGTTGTTCTACACATAGACGTGGGGGTGGTGGTGGTGGTGGTGGTGAAGGGAGGGAGGGAGGGAGGGAGGAGGCGGGGCTGGGTTCATGGTGTGGGGGGGTTGGAGGGTCGTCAAAGCAAAGGAGGAAAGTTGTCTTTCGGGGGAGATGGGTGGCCCTGAAAAGGGCCGTTGGAAAACAAACTGGAAACTGGAAACGACAGGAAACGGTAGGAACACTGGAACACTGGAACACTAGAAAAACTGCAAACGATGGGAAACTGGTAAAAACAGTGGGGCAGCATGGCCCATGCGTTAGTCACTTTGTTCAGATGATCTATCTTCTTCATCCTCTACTTCCATCTCATCCTCGGACTGAAGGTGACGTCGGCGCTTTGAAGCGTGTTTTCTTGAGGGGCTTCTGTTCCGTTTTCTTTTCTCTAGACGAGGTGTGATGCCTACACGGAGTTGTGTGAGGCATTCTTTTAGGTCGAGGACATCGGCATGTCTTCGATGAGATGAAGCACTTGTGCCACGGGTGTCATGGGTGCCACGGATGCCACGGGTGTCGACGTGGACGGTGTTGCTAACGTTTTCTTTCGACTGGGTTCTGGGCAATCTGCAGCGAAATGACCCATGTCTTGACAGTTGGCCCAGGTTCTGCTTCTCTTGACTGTTCATCTTCAGACAGACATAGTGACGGTGACCTTGATCGTTAAACTCGAGGCATGTCACTTCAGGGCAGTACAGGTAACTGTGACGGTCGGTCTGGCACTTCATACAACTGTATCGAGCTGGCATGATGGGTTTCATAGAATGCAGTGTGTGTGAGTGGCTTCGCTCTTGTTTTGTTTTTATAGGAGATGCACTGACACCCTGCTTCCTGATTGGTTCCCCAGGCAGCGCCCCCGATTGGTTCGTTCCGGGGCCTGGCCTGCACCTCGGTATTCCAAAACGGACTGACCCCTGTGTTTCTTTTCCATTGGAAATGGATTTTACCATGGGAGAGAAAGCACAACCCCGTTTCGGCCAATCAGAGCCCCGCCTGGTCCGAGCGCCGTCTCTGATTGGTCGACAACCCAGGCTTTGGATTGGTCCGATTTCGATCCGGTTTTTATCGGGGTGTGCATTTCGATCCTGTTTTGTTTTTTCTTCATCCTACAGACAACATAACACGACTATGAGTTCAACTTTTTTCTTCTTTTTTTAATCCCCCTGATCACATGAACCAACACAACAAAACGAAAGTCACAGGATGAGGGGGACATCCCTGTGATTTTTTTTAACACGAGGGGTGACCACGGGGGTGACCACGAGGGGTGACCACGAGGGTATGAACGTCTGTACACTTTGAAAAAAAAAGAAACTTTGTCACTAGGGGTGAACAAGACACTCGACTCTTCGTTTCCGTGCTTCTTGGGACACCAAACGTCTGTATTTTTCGTTCACTTCTCCATCAGGACAAAACACACACAAGTATTCGCAGGGGACTTTGGCGTGCTTCAGATGTTCTTTCCAGGGTTGGTCTGTGGCTTCCCATTGGCGGAGTGTCACACCGCAGCAATAACAGATAACACGGTCACCTCGTCCTGGATAGAAATAGCCAGCCATGGCCATGTCATAAGGGGTCTGGGTCATCTGTTTAGGCCACGTTTGAAAAGACCTCAGACGTTCTTGAAATGAATCATAGTTGGGATGAGAAGGATGACACAAGGTGTAAGAAGGAAAAGGTCTCTCCAGAATGTCACTGAGTCGCCATGTGTCGTCCATCAAGAGTGTGTCGTCCATAAAGAGTGGACGTTTTCTCACTTCTTGTTCTCCCGCCTTTTCAGACACCACTCGGAATCGGTGACGACATCTCGGCATTCATAGAACGTCTTTGCTCCATGATGACTGTGACTTCACTGAAAGAAGGTCTGAGGGTTCGCCTGCTTTTATGAAACTCTCCACCCTACTCCCTTCAACGGAAGGTCATGACCTTAGCTTTCATCTCCTCCACCTCCTCCACCTCATCACGTGACGTCATCCTGTGTTTGGGTTGACGGACACACGGCATGATGCATGACATGATACATGACATGACATGGCACACGGTGGGTATGGGGATCGATGCGTACTGGAATAACTGACACCAGGCAGCTGATCTTTCAAGCATAGCCTTTCTCTTTTATCTATTTTTATTTTAATTTTATGTCATCACTTTGGTGTGCACTGACATGACAGATGCACAGACGGACAGACAGACAGACAACGTAAACGACATCTCAACTCAACCTCTACCCTCGGTTCGGCACTCTATTGGAGTTGAGATCAATCACTCAAGCATCACCACCACCACCATGGTCTCCAGCATGGCAATGCGGCAGATGTCAAGGGGGTCTGGATGTCTATGCCCTTGGTACAAGGGCATGGGATGGCACTTTCAAGTGCGTCTATTGCGGCACTGTCCTGAAGGACACCTACGTGCGTCGGTTAACGCACACCAGTAGGTGTCCTGTCAGACGCCAAATGAAAGTCCACCCGTGCCTTTGCACCGTTGCGTGCACCTGCATGTAAACATCAAAACGGCCCTTTTCAGGGCCACCCATCTCTCCCGAAAGACAACTTTCCTCCTTTGCTTTGACGACCCTCCAAACCCCCCAAACCGTGAACCCAGCCCCGCCTCCTCCCTCCCTCCCTCCCTCCCTTCACCACCACCACCACCACCCCCACGTCTATGTGTAGAACAACAACAACAACAGATTTTTGACGCGCTTCTTTCAATGTCGATCCTGTTCACCTTTTACGTGCGCTTCTCCGGGTTTTCCCCATCCTCCCCGGACACGGATGTGCCGCCATCTTGAAGGTGTACGCCACCGGACACGGATGCGACGCCATCTTGGATGCGCATGCCACCGGAAACGGATGTGCCGCCATCTTGGATGCGCACGCAAGTCTCATCATGTACTGCGCAGGTCACGTGACCGGAAGTGACGTCACAGAGGTCACGTGATCCTCTCGACCAATCAGAAGCCAGGAGCGGTCCCATACTGATGCTTACAACTACTAATATGCATGAAAAATCCGGGGTAGAATAGGTCTTCAGCAACCCATGCATGTCGTAAAACGCGACTATGCTTGTCGTAAGAGGCAACTCACGGGATCGGGGGGTCAGGCTCGCTGACTTGGTTGATGCATGTCATCGTATCCGAATTGCTTAGATCGATGCTTATAATATCAATCACTGGATTGTCTGGTCCAGACTCGATTATTTACAGACCGCTGTCATGTAGCTCGAATATTGCTGAGTGCGGCGTTAAACAACAAACCAACCAACCACTGTCTTGATAATGGCGAAGTTCATACTTGTTATGTAAAAGGAATCAAAGCACATCCATTCATATCCAGCTAACGTGGACTGAAAAAGGAACTGTAGGCAAAGTGCACAGTATCACCCGGACACAGAATGGCGCCGTCATTGATGTGGTGTGTGGAGGATGGTGTGGGAGATGCGACCCTGTTGGAGACATGATCCTCTACCCAAACAATCTGGATATTCAGCCATAGGTCAACTCGGTGTGTGGAGGATGGTGTGGATTGTGTTAAGTGTCGATTCCCAAATTGAAATATTAAGTTTACCCAGAAATCTGTACGTAAAAAAATTGAGTGTGAAACAAACAACCTCCCATCCACAATTGTGCAATAAAATGAACTCGGTTTAGAAATAATTACAAATTACTGCACAGCAATTACAAAATCCGGCCACGGTAGGATGATAGTACAATATTCAATGTCAATAATATGAAAGCAATTGTCAGTCCGAAAATTCAGTCATAAGCCCGGTGTGTGGAGATGTTGTGGACGGATGGATGGTCAGGATTGTAGATCCTGAATGAGATGTGGTTATCTACCCAAACAGTCTGGATATTCACCCACTCTTGGTTTTGGAACATGGTGTTGTTGATGTTGATGTTGCGGATGATTTTCGAAATCAGTCTTGACAAGCATCTCTTAGATAAGCTTGCAAAGTTTCATTCATGTAACTTCAGTAAGTTTAAGAGAAAACTTGTCCCCATTTCACTTAGTATGCCCATAGTTGAAAAGCATGGAGCAAGGGCCATAACTCTGTAAAAATGAATTAAAGACACCAATTTTCGAATTCATTTAAGATCATGACCAGTGATATCACTTGTAAAATTTCATTTGTCTGACTTAAATAAGTTTTAACGGACGGACGGACGGACGAACTCCGTTCCTGTATCCCCCACCCCCAACCCCCAACCCCAAACCCCACCCCCCCCCCCCACCCCACCCCACCCCACCCCCACTTTGTGGCGGGGAACAAAGGTATATTAACACCTGTGTTTACGAATACTGTTTACCTGAGGGAAGAAGGCGAATTCATATTTTGGCAACCTACATGTATAATGTGGAACGTCGTCATTTGTCGCAAAGACAGAAACAATAGCGACAGGTTCAGCGTGTAATTCGAGTTCCCTGAACCATTATGAACCATCGATAATGCAAGTTGTTTAACTCCGGATATGTTATATTTATTGCAATGGTCATTATGAATTATGTGAACTGTATTTAGGTATATACGACAGCGATATGACATTGACAAATTCAATAAGTACAACTATGTATAAATGAGTTAATAAATGGAGGTTTAATGTCATTAGAAGAATGTGCATATGCTTGCCGTAAAATGTGACTATGCGTGCCGTAAGAGGCGACTAACGGGATCGCGTGGTCAGGCTCGCTAAATTGGTTGATGAATGTGATCGATCCCAACAGCATGGATCGATGCTCATGATGTCAATCACTGGATTGTCTGGTCCAGACTCGATTCTTTACAGACCGCCCTCATATAGCTGGAATATTGCTGAGTGCGGCGTAAAACAACAAACCAACCAATCAACAAGGATGGTGTGGCTGGGGCGTCCCAATAGCATTGAACCGGTTTAACACATTGGGTACAATGACACAATAAACCAACTGAAACATCCTAACAATCCGATTTGAGTCAACTCAACAAGCATGGTGACCCGTGAAGATTCCGGGGTAGAATAGGTCTTCAGCAACCCATGCTTCCGAAAAAGGTGATTATGCTTGTCGTAAGAGGCTACTAACGGGATCGGGTGGTCAGGCTCGCTGACTTGGTTGATACATGTCATCGATCCCAATTGCGTGGATCGATGCTCTTGGTATCAATCACTGAATTGCTGCTCAAGACTCGATTATTTACAGACCGCAATCACATAGCTGCAATATTGCTGAGTGCGGCGTAAAACAACAAACCAACCAACCAATCAACAAGGATGGTTTGGCTGGGGCGTCCCCTGTTCTATCTTGGAATGCCTATGAGTATTTGAAGCGAGAAATTTCGGTAATGCAATAAAAACATAAATGTTTACAATATTATGACGATGTTTTACATTGAAGGCATGTTTCACCTCGAGAGCTGATTGTGTGAAAGCACCCCAAAACTGAACAGGTCTTTTCAAATATCAATATGTTTGTCTTCTTTTATAGCCTAGCTTTTGCTGATCAACCATATTTTTTAAGATTATTTCTTCGAAATAGATAGATTCACTTGTTGGAGTGAAAGAGCTTATCCACAATAATCACAAAAACAAATAAACAATACGAATTGTTATGGTTCACATTGTTGACGTGTGTGGTAAGCATACGATATATTGATCAAAGTGATCAAAGTATGTGTTTAATGCTGTTGCAGACCCGTGAAGATCCGGGGTAGAATAGGTCTTCAGCAACACATGCTTGCCGTAAAAGGCGTCTATGCTTGTCGTAAGATGCGACTAACGGGATCGGGTTAGTGTTTTGAGTAGCCACGAGAGCTGAACTACTGTGTGAAGTATATGGACATTAATGTCATGTCACAATAGGCCAAGTCAAATGTTGATGTCACCTGATAAGAGTATGTGGTCAGAATTTATCTTTTACGATTAATGTTCTTGTCACCAAACTGTAGATAATCCTTGCTGTATGAATATCTTCATATATGGCATTTTGTGCTAATTTTCTGATGGTTTATGATGCTAGTTGTCACCATTATGAGGGTTTACTCGTTAATTGTTGGAGAAACGTAATTGAAAAGTGTTATTTCATAATATGAAAACAACAACCAAAACAAGGATTATGCAACAAGCTATATTATGTATTATTAAATAACGTATGTTATCACGCAAATATGACTTTTACTCACTTGTTATAAGCACTTATTCTACTATGTTATTGTATATTTGAATTGTTTATGTGTAAACAGTGTATGTAGAAAACATTATATTCACCAGGTATGTTTATACGCCTAAAAAGTATTTCTGTGCAATTTTATTTTATGTTGTGTCACATAAGCCTCTTAAAGATAGGCTTCACAGTTGTTGTCCCCCTGAGAGGGTATCGTAAGTCCATATCATTCAAAGTATGTTATTCCAACAACAGTTTTTATCGTAGAATATGTGTTCTTTTAATTTGGCTAAATTTGTCAATAATCGTCAACACCTGAATGGATGACGTAAATCTGGGTGGGGTCCATGCAGAAAGCTAAAGTACTGTAAGTCCCCATGATCCCGACTTTGGTGATCTACCTTCAGTTGCTGGCGATCTATAGCCCAATTTTATAATGTAATGTTCTGTATAGTGCTATCCATTTCATGATTATATTCTAGTTTTAAGTATTTTTGTGTGATAAGTCTAGTTATTTTACTGTCCCTCGTTGGCAGGTTTTTATGTAAGTCACAATGTATCTACATGTTTAACTCTTGATAGTCACGATATGACTGAAATATTGCCGATGTGACTTAAAATTTTAACTCACTAACTCACTTCACAGTTTTTACCGGTAAATTATGAATTTAATATGTACGTGACACATTAATAAAATACAGTTTCTCTCTCCTCCGTGATTTGTTTTAAAGTATTTTCTTCTTCTAACAATCGACTTGCCTTTCCATGTGTTTGTGATGGGTGTAGCCGTTAGGGCAGGATATGCTTGTCTTTTCACAAACACATGATATCATTACAACAAAGGCGTGCTTATGTTCTAGTCGGAATTGCATAATGGACTGTATGAATGGATTTCGTCATATTATGGAAGTTTGTTTTGTCAGTTTTATTCCTAACAACTCACGGTCTCGGGATATGGCACACCCATAACCCTTACGGCCCGTGAAGATCCGGGGTAGAATGGTTGATGCATGTCATCATGTCCCAATTGCATGGGTCGATGCTCATGATGTCAATCACTGGTTGTCTGGCCCAGACTCGATTATTTACAGACTGCCGTCATATAGCTGGGATATGGTTGTGTGCGGCGTTAAACAACAAACAAACAAACAATAACAAACAGAGACATACGTGTTGTGCCAAGGCATACCCATAACCCTTACCTACAAACTCATGCATTTGGCGTTCGTATGACCCCAAGCGACAATGTTAATAGATACATAGATAATGTTGTAACACGGCGTACTTGTACCACTGCCAAAACTGTGAGCAGTTCAACACATATAGGTGTTGTGGCACACCACTCCAATATGCCCGACCAACACTGTCAAGAGGTAAATACATATACGTGTTGTGCTATGACACACTTATATCCCCTGCCAACATTGTGAACAGTTCAATACATATACGTGTTGTGCTACGACACACTTATATCCCCTGCCTGGTGCTGTTTCGCCTTTTTATTAATATTTAATGATGAATGTATGTCCAGGTTGGACACATTACAAATATCTGCTTACATTGGCACTTTTTGTGTTATTAAAAAATGGTGCAACTTGTGCTTCATTGGCTAAGACCCCTTCTATACAAGAGAGCATGGGTGACTCATCTGCCTTGCAGAGTTGCGTCCCTTAGGCGCGGCAGAGACCTTTGATCGGGGGTTCGAAACTGAGAATCACCCTGATTATGTTTACGGTTTGTCAGTACTATACCCATGCTCTTTAGTTGAGAGTTTAGGTAAACATCTAAGACCTGCATTACTTCAGGTTTTCCTCCCACATCAAGCCACACCGTAATACTACTGAGTACTGTTGGATGCCCTTTCTCAGACCCGTGGGCACTCGTGAAGAGCAACCTCCTCGTGGTGAGTGCTGGGTAACGCTAATCGCTCTTCCCCCGTGTGGAACCGGGGCAGAATACTTCCAAAGCACCCCATTGCTGGTCGTAAGAGGCAACCAAAGTGGGCAGCCCGTTTGCCGTGGGTTGCGTCCCTGTGTCGGCGGAGGACGGGAGTCTGGTGGTTGAGGGCACTGGTTCCAGGAATAGCGTTCCTTTGCCCAATACACCACTTCGACCCTTACTTCGCCTAGACGGGTGGTAGGATGGGCCCGGTCCTATCAATCGGCTGGTCATGCCGAGCCCTGTGTGTATCAATTGTATTGCACAAATTTCTCAATTATTTCAACATTTCAACAGTTTCTGTGAATCTGTTTTTGTCTTGGCACAACGTTGTACTCATTGAATTTCAAATGTATTATTTACAAGTACGTTCTTTGCCTAGAGTCGTATGCCCAGAAGGCGGTGGCTCATGGGCCAATCTGGTGGAATGATTACTTGTTTAATTTTTCTGCTTGAGTATATCATCCCAGTATCCTTGGTGCTGCAAGTCGGAGATCCACTTGTTTATAGCACTGTCTATATGACACTCCGTGGAGGGTGGGGAGCTGGGATGATGAAACATTATACATACCAACATGGATCTTGAAACCCCTTTGAAAAAAAAACGTCAGCTTGACAATGATCCAAGTACCATTGATAGTCATCGACCTCCGAAACAAGTTGAATACTGGCCAAGGTTTTTGGTTGTTGAGTCTCCTGATAAAGAACCAATTAAACTCAACCCGTTTGCTATTTCAAAAGGAGTGTATGGAATAGCAGGCGATGTCAAGAATATCAAACGCATGAGATCTGGTTCCCTTCTCATAGAATGTGCTAGAAGACAGCAATCAACTAACCTGCTATCTGCTGATACATTGGCTGGACTTCCTGTTTCTGTCTCTGCCCATAGGTCTCTAAATTCAAGTAAAGGCATTGTTAGAGATCGTGATCATCTTTTAGAGGATATGACAGAGTTTGACATACTCTGTGAGCTTAAAGACCAAGGTGTCACAGAGGTAAAACGGTTCACCAGGCGTCAGAACTCTCAAGTGATTCAAACCAACACATACCTGTTTTCGTTTGTCTTTCCAACTGCACCAAAA